TCTAAATGATAAATGGTAAATGGACTGTACTTATATGAGGCTTTTCTATCTTATCAAGATACTCAAAGCGATTTACACAACAGTCTGTGCCCTCATTTACCCATTCATACAGCAATCTACTAGATCTACACCAAGCTAATTGAACAAATCATTCTAAAGAAACTAATCAGTGCTTTTTGATCACATTCATACATCGATGGGACACACATCGGAGGCAATGATGAGGTCAGTGTCTTGCCCAGGGACACTTCAGCATGTGACTGCTGGTGGAATCGAACCCCCATCTCTCGGATTGAAGGACAACTGCTCCAACCACTCAGCCACAGCTGCCTCTGTATGGAATTAAGCCGCCCACCTACTAGTGGAAAAAGGCCCTCTTGACATACATCAGGTCAAACTTGTGGTCTAGTCTAGCCCAGGCCTCCACAATGGTCATGATGTTGCTAAGTAAGTACAAGACACTCTTGGCCAAGTCTCCACCAGAAACCACAGTGGGTGGCTGGTAGTTGATGCCCACCTTGAAACCAGTGGGACGCAAGTCCACAAACCACATGCTACGTTTGGTTTTGATGTTGGCGATGGCAGTGCTGACATTTTTGGGCACCACATCACCGTAGTACAGAAGGCAGCAGGCCATGTACTTTCCTTGGTGGGGGTCACATTTCGCCAGCTGATTGGCAGGCTGAAAGTAGGCGCTCGTTACTGAATGGTTTACTGAAGGCGTTGCTTTGGTCAGTCATGGTGAAGAAGAAATTAAGCCAAAAGATAAAGCTCTGAACTGCCTCTGTTCCAACCCTCATATATAGTCACGAGGCTTTGATCCTTGATACAAGCAGTCAAAAGGATCTTCCATCATAGGGTGGACTGGTTCAGCTTTAGAGATAGAGTGAGGAGCTCTGTCTTCCAGGGGAGTAGAGCAGCTGCTTCTCTGTATCAAAATGGGTCAGTTGAGGTGGTTTGGACATCTGATTAGAATGCCTCTCTCTGGAGGTTTTTCAGTTACGTCCCACTAGTAAAGAATCTTCTAAACCTAGAAAACTTGCTAGAGGGACTCTGTATATTTTCTGATCAGGGTCCCCCAGGGAGAGCTGGAGAATGTTACAGTAGAGAGAGATGTCTGGGGTTTCTCTCCTGGACATGTTACCTTTGAGACCTGATTACAGTTAAGGGGTAAAAGATGGAGATGGAAATGCTGTAATGTTTCAACTGCTACATTAGTATACTGGTGGGTTTTGCTCATAATATTAAAGCTACATACAAGAAGACACTGACTGAGCATGCAAAAAAAAAAAAAAAAAACAGATGATGTCTTTCCATTAAGAGAAATTACTTAAAACTAGAAACAATACGTGGAAATGAAGTATTCACAGAAGTAACTTAGGATAAAACTTTCTAACGTATTGCTGCCATTTAAAGTTTTTTTTATGTTTTCTTGCTGCATCTCATTACTCACTTTACAGCTCTGGTCTTTGTTTCCAGCCCTGTAAAAGAAGAGGTTAACTTAAGGGGAAAAAAATCCATATATGTGTTTTATTTTATGCTCACTTTGCATAAATCATGCACGTCTGAAATAATTACCTGGGTGGGAGCCACGCTGAACCATAGCAATGAATTCCCACGCAGCTTAAAATCAGTTCGAAACAATTATGTTAAATGTAGTTTTTATTCAAGTGCAGCAGCCTCCGGATCGCTGCTTAGTTAGGTGTATTTAGAAATGTATGATTATGAAACGCATGTTTTTTTCTCCCACAGCAATTTTTTTGTAAGTTTTTATACTCAGAAATAACTTACCAGCTTTCTTCTCTTTACTTGCTTCTTGCTACTGTCTGAAAGTCCACTCATAGAAATGTTCTGTTTGGTAGCGACGTTTTTATTCTATAACATGTTTTTCTCTGTTGGAATTTTACCATTAACTGAAAAACTAAATGCAAAAATAAATAGTCTGAATATAGTAAAGTACATAACAGCTAATTGAAATTTTTCCATATTTCGTCATGGTACAACCCCGAACATCAGTGTTTAAAATAAGATTTTATTAGAAAGACCGTACACAATTGTAAAAGGAATAAAATTATTGATTTGAATTTTTTTAACAAATCCAACTAAAAGTTTGATGTACATTTGTTTTCAGCCCCCTTTACTTTGACACTCCTAAAAGGATCCAGCGCAACTACTCATCCAATTGTCACATAAATAGTTATACAACTCAACTCTGTGCAATTTAATCTCAGTATTAAAACATCTGTTCTGTGAAGGACTGAGGTTTGTTACTAAACATTGGTAATCTAATGGCTTCATGAAGACCAAGGACCACATTAGGCAGATCACAGATAGGTTAGACATGAAGTTGTAAGGACTGGAGTTAGGTTACAATACAACATCCCAAGTTTTAATTTATTTCAAGAAGCACTGTTCAGTCTATTATTTGAAAATAGAGTATGGCTCAACTGCAAACCTACCAATGCATTGTGGTCCACCTACACCGACAGGCCAGGCAAGGAGAGCATAGATATGAGAATCAGCCAGAGGATATTCTGGAGGAGCTGTGAAGATCCACAACTCTCCACAAATATGTCCTTCATGAAAACACGTCAAGAAGAATGTCATTGTTGAAAGAAATTCATAATATGCCCAATTTGTTGTTTTATTACAAGTCATGAAGGAAACACAGCAAGCATTTAGAAAATTGAACTTTTTGACCTAAAAAGTTATTATGTTCTCATCAGCCTGAACCCACCAACTCCACTGCTAGACATAGTGGTGGCAGCATCATGCAGTGGCAATGCTTTTCTTCAGCACTCATAGGGGAGCTGGTCAGATTCACTAAATACATGGATGGAGCTAAATACAGGGCAAACCTACAGAAAACAAACAAACAAAAATGGTTAATACTGCCAAAAACTCAAAACTAAGGTGGATGTTCACCTTCCAGCTGGACAGTAGCCCAAATTGTAAAACCAGAACTACAATGGAATGGCTTAGATCAAATTATATCCATATGTTGGAACGATCCAGCCCTAAATTCATTTGATGATCTGTGGCATCTGTTTACGTGTTCTCCATCCAATCTGACTGAGCACAAGTTATTTCACAAAGAAGAATGGGCAGCAATTTCCATATGTGCAAGATGGTAATGACAAAATATGGAAATGTTCAAGGGTTATGACTTTTTTTTTTTCAAGACAATGTAGGTGCTTGGCACATTATGTGCACTTACAATTTTAATTAAACTTTCATTACACATATTAAGAGTGTATTTTTTATAGTTTACTTGGATTATCATGTTATCAGATCAGGATTTTATGCAAATGTGTTTGACTTGAGGTAATGCTGTACTTGATGTAAAGTGCATCCACACTCTTAAATGGTTGTAACACCATATTTCTACATACAGTACAGTCCCCTCTGGCTCTTCACTATTACGTCTAGACTGCTTTATTCATCTGCACACACGCCAGTTATTTTGATGGGTGTAGATATGCATTGCTTTAACTTCATGAGAAAAAGCATTTCAAACTCCCCATGGGAGTTTTCACATACATCTCATGAGCCATTACCAAGGATTTCTCTTTCTGCACTTACTTCCTCTCTTAATACACAGGGAGTCCGCTTGGAGACAAAAAAAAAAACAAGCAAGAAATTGATAACAAATGCACCCTAGAGTTGTATATTTTTAAACCAAACATTATGAAATGGCAAATTTCAGCCAAGTTCATGAGTGTGAGTGCAGGTCTAAATATCATACTTTTTAGCAGCTGGCATTGTTTGGACATTCAACTTTTTTTTTTTTTCTGTTTCTTTGTTGCTCTCTGCAACAAATGGAAAGAATGGTGGCAAAAGAGACAAAAATAACTATTTACTAACACTGAGTGTACAAAGTTGCTAAATTAATATCTAGCATCACTCAGGGAATTTCATTTTAATCTGATGCCACTCAGAGATAAAGACTAATATCAGTTTTTAATGTCAAGTATAATGGATGCAAAGAACATCTATTTTATTGTATTTGTTTTTCTTACAAAAACAACTGAAGCTCTCGACCTTGACCTCTCTAAGTGGCTTTAAGAATCTGTTGGACTCCTGGCAGGGACCAATGCAGACATGTTCCTGTTTTAGTTTTCTACATTCGCCTTAGAATCTAGCTGTTTTTTTGTTACCTTTTTCTTTTAGCCATCCTATTTGTAAAAAAAAAAAAAAATAATCCAGAATGACTTTTTATAACTGTTTATTGTTGTCGCTGTTGTTCATTGTTGTCATCATTCTTTGTTGAAATCAGGTCTCTCTTGTAAATGAGTCCTCTAGGCTCAATGGGATTTACCTGTCTAAATAAAGGTTGAATGAATGAAAAAACATATATTTTATCTTTCGAAAACTAAGGATAACTAATGATGTGCTTACTTGTAAATGTCACTGATCTGCCATTTTTGTGTTTTTCTAATAAATTCTGGCTCAGAAGACCTGATTTTATGCAGACTGTATGCTTTTCATATACAGGGAAGTGGTGGTGCAGATGTTAGATAAGGTGGGTCGCTGGCTTAACTCACTGGACTGATAACATCAAAATGTGAGTGGGATAGGTGAAGCACCCACACCTGCCTCCATCCTCATTTGCCCCACTCTGAGCTTTGAGCAAGGCCCTTAACCCCCACCATCTGCTCCCCTGGGTGCCCTAGATGCAGCTCTCTGCTTCTCATAGAGGGCTGTGGTAGCTCAATGGTCTGTGGTACATCAAGAAGGGCATCTGGGGTAAAAACAATTGCCAAGTCTTCATGCAAGTTAGTTTGCTGTAGTGACCCCTGAAGAAGGGAGCAGCCAAAATAAGAAAATCAATATTTCAATATACAGTACACATTTTATATTCATTTAATGTTTTAGTCTAGCAGGATTAATTTTTTGGGGTCTGGTTAGGAAAATAAATAAATATGTAATGTGCTATCTTCACTTAGTTTGGTTTTAAATCTGAAGTTTTATTTAATAACTTCTTATTTTGTTTTCTGCAGGAGATGTTGTTCCCAGCACCCACTGTGTAAATGACCCTCCTCCCACAGAGGAGACCTGTGAGGTGGCCTGTTCTGCAGACTGTGTCGTTGGCTCCTGGTTCTCCTGGTCAGCCTGCTCTCATAGCTGTGCAACAAAAACTGCAGAGGGCAAGCAGAGTCGCACTCGCACAGTTCTGGCAATCCCAGGGAAAGGTAATCCGAAAATCCCTTTGATTACGTTGTCACATTTCTGGCTCAATATATGGGAGCTTATTGTTTGGTGCATGTCTGTCATTAATTTATTTATTTTATTTATTTGTGTGTTTGTTTTATTTTTCAGGAAAAGCTGATATTACTGTAACTTTGCTTTACAAGCATGGCACATTAATCATTAATCTAACACGAATCAATGACCCAAACACTAATCCTTTTTATTAAGAGGTGCAGTATAAACTTTTCGAGATGACAGACAGGAAGAAACCATAAACTTTTAGTGCTTTAAAAAAATATTCAAATTATTTTCAGAACCTTTATGTTCAGAAATTGAAAATATGTTTTGTTAAGGTTTCTTGGGATGTACATATAGAAATCTAGAACTAACTAAAAACTAGACTCAGCAAATAGTAAATAAAGCCTGATTGAAAAAGAGGTTTTCTCAGAGGCGATTTCCCCAACGTTGCAGTCTTTTGGCTGTTTCTCTGGATTTAAGAGTCTTGTATATACATTTTTCATCTCGGAAAACAGTTGAGGTTGGAGCTGACCATCCATTATCAAGAACTTTTCCTCCGGCAAGTATTTCTCGAAACACAGTGTGTTGTGTTTTCAAGTAAGACAGCCTTGGCAGTCGACTGCTGCCCATTAATCCCTGTAACTAAACACGTATCAGCAATAACAGCTGACGAAAGAATCTCGCAGCTTAAGCCAGGTTGCTGGCTATCTTCTTGTTGGCAGAGGAGCTTGGAGCGTGTGTGTGTGTTGGCTGTGTTTGTGTTTAGTATGTGTGCATGTTGGTATCTTTGTAAGAACACACTGAAGAGCCAGGGCTTGGAAAGCAAATCAGAAGTGCAGGTATTTCTTTGGTTGTGGTTCAGTGACAGTCACCCATGCCTTTCTGTAAGGGGAATCCTATAGATAAACTTGCTACGCTCTTTGAACTGTTGATCACTTTACCTCAGCTTACTGTATATTTAACATTTTTTAAACAATTGAACAGTACCGGTGCTCTGAACCCAGTAAGCCCTTAATAATGTCTTTATGTCAATATGCCGTTTTTAAAAGAATGATACATTTGAACAAACACAAACATGGGGAAAAGCAAGCACACTCCTAACATTTGAAGGCTATGCTTTTTGGAATGTGATAAAAAGAAGCTTCTGATCCTCTCTGAGTCTAAAGTAAACACAATATCTGATAAAAAATAAAATTTAAAAAAGTAGATATGACCTATTACATTGTTAATAATGGTAAAGCACAAACTAGGCCCAAATCCAGATGCACCAACAAAGGACAATTATTATTCCAGTATTTGTACATAAATCATTGTACTTGAAAACATTGTCCTGTTGCATGATTCCAATTTTCCCAATCTTTGCCTATTAGATGGTTTAAAATTACAGATAAAGCTCAATATTGACTAAAATGAGCTACCAGCTTTTGTGACTTCATCTTGTTTTATATGCTTTTATTATAGGGCTGATTTTACATTTCGTTTTAAAGTTTTTTTTATTATTATTTGTTTAATCATCTTATGTCAGGTGACTGCTTTTTTTATAATATATTGTTCTATAAAGCAATTTGATCCTATGGTTGTTTAAAGTGCTTTATAAATAAGATTTGCTTAATGTGGTAACAAACCCATATTATTACCCTTCCACCACTGTGCTAGATTGTAAGTTTAAAGGCTTGTACTGATATGCTGCTGTATATCAGTTTAGCTGTCACTAAAGCTGGCTATGCGCTTAATGCCAAACTTAACAATGGAGGTGTTTGTCTGAATTGTTCCAAAATCCTTGGGGATTCTTCAGATACTATTTTGCAAACCTGACTGAAAACCTAAATGCTTTAATCTGACAGCCAGTCCAAACAAATCATACTTCTACCCTCCTGCTCTGTCATTTGACATTTAGCGTGCTAACCCTTGCCTCTGGAGTCAGGCTTGTAGCTCTTATGTTTATTATTTATTTATTTTTGCAATTTCTTTGAGCTTTGTTCAAGTTGACCTTTGGTTGAGTTTGCTGGAATTCCAGAAACCACATTTAACTTTTTTTTTTTTCCACTTCACTTGTTTGCAGATTGAGAGATGTTGAAACCGCATGTGTGTCATATATAATACATGAACTATGACAGCTAAGGCAGAGCGAGCAGAATCAAGAAAATATAGCAATGTTGTGGCTTTAGGCATGTGCATCAATGTACATATTTCCTTTTCAAGATACTACGTAGTGTCATGTGTTGTTTATTGGTTTCTTTCTGCTATTCCTTCATGTGTTTAAATCCAGAGGGGAAAGCTTGTCCAGCAGCTCCAGCCCTGGAGGAGTGGCGAGTTTGCAATGACCATCCTTGCATGGTATTTTACTGGCAGGCCTCAGCGTGGGGTCCCTGTCTTGTGAATACTTCGGCTGATCTTAATGGAACAAGCTTGTGGAATGAGACCTGTGCTGTTGGCGTCCAGAGCCGTAAAGTCAGCTGCATGAAGATGAATGCTGGTCCGGTCGTAAGTAAAAGGTACGCTGGTGGCATTAAGACTCTTTGCACTTTGAATGCATTATACATTTGCAGTTGTTTGGTTTTTGTTTGTTTGTTTCTTACAAACAGTTGTGTGTCTACAAATCCTCATGTACACCACTCCCCCCCCCTCTTTACCAGCTCTATTTTTAATTTTTTTTCTAGTGATCAAATTAAGCAAATGAGTGCTTTCTACTTAGTGTTCACACTCCAGACATAATTAAAGACAATAGGAGTGATTTTACCAAGATACGAATGGAAGTATTATTTAAAATGCAAAATGCTCCCTTTCTTTTATTTCTACAGAGCTGCTTTGATTATTTTTACATGCAAGAACATGGGTGCCATGATAAATTTAGAGAAAATGAGTGGGGAGATAAAGATGCAATCATGTTCTTCAAAAAAATAAATCTCTAAAACAACAGAGTCTCCTTTCAGAAAACATCTTTCTTTAGAATATAAGTATTGTCACAGTATTTAAAGATGAGTCAGAGGACCTGATACACAGTGAAAACATCCCCAGAGTTTTTGTGAACAGACATCTTCCTTCATGCATTCATTCTGTATTTTGTATTAGCATTATTTTTTGTTGCCTATGTGTGTGTGATGTGTGAACCAGAAATTCATCTTGCTACTACTCCCCCATTATCCTTCTCTTTCAGCAATACAATATCAAACACTGCTAAGGGCTTTTGTGCTGTCACTTTAATGATGTTAAAGCCCACACCAGAAAGACAGATTTATAAATAATTCACAAAGTTTGCCCTTCTTTAGCTCTACATATTATTGACAGGGCCATAAAATGGATTATGGAGAGGCTTTTTTCCCATGCTCGTCTTGTCTCCCGCCACAAAAGCTTTAATGAAAGCTGTCATTTCTGCTCCGCCAACAGATTTTGCCTGTACAGTGTGCTGTGAATTTAATCACTCTGTTTCTATTCATATTGCAGCAAAGTGTTCAATTAATGGAAACATCACCTAGAGCTTAGACCTGAATGTTGGTATTCACTGGAGATGATTCTGACAGTCAGTGAAAAGTTAGTTGGTGTTTTTATACAACAACACATAAATATATATATATATTTTTTTTCTGCCCATCAAATCTGTGTTTACTGATATATATTAACTTATATTTAGCATAACTTATCAAACTTTGCTTCAGGATTATTAAACATTAAACTAACCATCACATTTGTACTGACAAAGAAGTGAAAGAAGATGGGGCAGGAATCAACAATAATATTATATAATATATCATATCATATAATATATCAATAATATTTTGAACCTGTTTTGTGAATGAAAAAAGTATTACACACACATATAT